TGGAGGGGACGGGGGGGTGGCGTCACTTTCCTCTGGCCGGTGGGTAGGTGCAAGAGAAGCAGGACTGAATTTCAGCCTGACTCTAGTTGTGCATATGGATGACAGGAGGAGGAAGGATGCCTTGTGGGTGATATGGGCTCCTGTGGGATTCACTGTAACTAACCCTGGTTCAGCTGGTGCCACTGTCACCTGGGGTTTTACAGCATGCTGCTCCCACAGGGGGATGGAAAACCTGAGTGCCAGTTTGGAAAATAAATTGCAGCACTGCCTGAAAGTACGTTTTGTGTTTGTGAGCATGAAGAGAAGTCAGCTAGAAAATACAGGGGTGTGTTATCATGCCGTGGTTAGCAAGCATGTGGGAGAAGCCATTGCTTTTGACTAGGAAGAATATCAGATCTAGCCAAGCTTATAGCTCTTCTTGTGTCTGGGCTTTCAATGTCAATGAACTCTTGGTGGTGTCTTGTAGAGGATGCAGTTTGGGTTGAATAGTAATAAAATACACCCTGGCTGGAGTGTATGCATGTACGTGAACTGCAGTGTCATCCCAAAACAAGTAGGAGGCAAGGCAAGGGTGGAATAAAACAGCCTCCTGAAGAACGATGAGCCCGTGGCCTCTTCAGCTTCCTGTCCATGGAGCTCAGCACAATAGCCCCTGCATCACGGCGAGACTACGACAAGGGGCGGTTTCCAGCAGAACTGAAAGATCTTTAATAAAATGTGTGACAGTCGATGCACGTAGGGAGGAACATGCGGCTTTGTCTCGGGAAGCACAGGATGCAGCACAGATGGAGGCACCTCGCAAGTCTTAACACTCCCTACCACACGGCTGCGTGCCGGAGCCGTTCCCGGCACAAAGGTCCACTGACCTTTCTGGCTGCAATTGCCGAGCACGCGTGCCGCAGCCGAGAGCGATGCCGACCCCCTGTGGCAAGCGCGGTCTGGCGGGCAAAAGGCTGGGAGGGCGGGGGCCATCTGCCATAGCACCTTTTCCATGGTAAGTACGGATTTGGCAACACCAACGAACTTAGGGAAAATGTTAACGTGCTCTGCATTGAAATGGTTGGGCTGACCCAGAATGAAACTGGTTTACAACTGGCCACAAATTTCAAAAAGACGTTTGGTTTGGTTCCTACCTGGAATTGCTTTCCACTGAGTAGCAAATCAGCTGTTCAGCCTGGCTGGGTTCAAGTACCAAGGAACTATTTCATTAAAGCCCTTTTTTTGAGAAACCTGGTTTTCACAATCAGCGAAGAGCAGCAGAAAATACTGTGTTGCTGGTGGATGGGGGTGAAGCAATTGCATTTGTTCTCCGTTACCTGCTATCGCTCTTTAGCTGTAAGACTTGCATCTAAAACATCTATATTTAAAAAGCAGAAGATGATATCGGGATAGCCTGGTGCTATTCACCTTTGACCAGATCAAGCGTTCACTGGCTGCGACCTCTAGCTGCACTGGCGAGGAGGCAGGGGTCGGTTTGCAGAGGTGGTGCGGTGTGGCACGGCAGGCGCTAGCGGGATGGTGCGGCACGGCTCCCGCAAGTGGGAGGCGAGTTATCCAGCCCTGATGTTGGTGGGTGTCCCGGAGTGGGTGGCCTCCTTCTGCGGCGCTCTGGGAAGAGGCGTAAAAGTGCTGGGTGATTAATTTGGCCCTAAAGAGGAAGACAAGCATTGCTGATGGGGAAAAGCTCCAAATTAGCACTCATACCTGTGTCTTCACTGCGTGGCTCTTCTCAACAGTGCATGAATTGTGGGCACTATGAACATACCTCTGGCTTGCTGCTGGTTTCCTTACCCCAGGCTCCCCAGGAGCCCCTCGAGGGGTTGGGCTCTGCCTGGTCTGTCCCTGGCACAAAGCTCTGGTCTCTTATGAGGAGGAAAAACCAAGTTGCAGTGTGTGTGTGTGTGTGATATTAAAGATGGGGCTGAGCAGGCCCCCCCCCGCCTTGTGACCACTAAGTCTTGAAATCCTGTCTATCGCCTCTGGCTTCCCCAGCCCTGCCCTGTGGCTCAGCCTCCGGGCTCACTGCAGCACATGTCTCCCCACTACTTTCCACAGGGAGACCTGAAACCAGGCTCAGGGGCTCGCCATTGCCCAAGAGCATGCTGCTGTTCACACCTGGGCTTGGGGGGAGCTTGGGGGGTGCTGGTTTTAATCAGGACTATTGGAAAAAGTGGGCTTTTTTATCATCATTATTACTGCAGCGAGGCAGCTTTGGTGAAAATGCAATTTGGTGCTTGCTCCCCAGTAGCAAGGCTAATCTATAAAGTTGCTCCTGTCCTAAAGCAGACAGTGGAAATCTGTCTGGTGCTAATTAAAATCGATTAAGCAAATCCCCACAACAGGCAGAAATAAGGCCTTTTGTCCTGGGTGTCCATTTGACAGATTTCAGAGCCTCTGAAGTGGTGTGTTGGCTGTTTTCTTGGCTTCATCAATTTGATAGAAAGGTCAAAAATAAGAAAAATTTTTACAGAGCAAAACCTGAAAGTAAATTATGAATCCCACACCTCTCCTGCATAGCACTGCCGGTGCCAATCTCCCTCATGCAATAAATGCGGTCAGCACACAGACGTAACTGAAGCGATGCTCTCTGGAGATCCGTGGCAGTCCCGGGAAGGGCAGCATTTCCATACAAGCCCTTCCCCAACTATTCCAATTCTCCCATCCTCACTAGAGCACAGGGACAGACAGCACTAAACGTGGTCCGAAAGGCCAGCAAAATCCTGGCGATGCTGACGAAGAGCTAATCCTGCCATTTTTTGTTCCCAGGGGAACAAAAAATTTGTACAGGTGCTGGGTCTCTGGGATGGGGCATCTGCTGCTGGTCTGACATCTGGTGCCACAGGAGATATGACTTTCGGCAGTTTAATGCCCAGTGAAAATGTCAGCTTGTTTAACCCTCCCCAGACTGAGATATCCTGCACTGCGTGTCCACTAAATGTTTGAATCCATCTTCTCAGGCACCAGAACAAGTTGTTCCTAAGCCACACTTGGCTGCTCCTGTTTCAGAGTTTCTGCACCCAAAGGCTTTGCCTGGTTTCTTTTCAACACCTCTACCAGCTGGCCTAGTGAAACCTGTTAGCTGTGTCTGCAGAGGCTCCTGCATATCCATCCCGAGACCACGGCACAACTAACTCAATGCTCAGGCAGCGTTTGGAATTTGCACTTGAACCAGCCACTCTGTTTTGGCAAATGTGAGAGGCAACCACTGCTCTTGGACGTTGCGCTCGCCGCAGCTGAGCTGGCAAGTTGTTTGGGTGGCTTAATGACTAGTTACAAACCTCAAAAAGAGTTCCCACCGATCACAGCAGCAGCTTGTGAAGGTGTTTTCCAGCTGTACTACTGGTTCCCTGTTTGCTCCTGGTTAGGAACCTATTTATCCCGTATTTTCCCAGGTGGGAAATGAAGGAGCAGAGCTTCTCTGTCTCACGGTAAATGCTGAAGCTCAACTCTCTAACATCCGTACAGTCCTGCAAGCTACAGAGCTGCAGATGCTACAGCACAGGTCACTGAGCGGCCACCCTCTTAACCGGTCCTTTTGGTAGAAACAGTCAGAGTGTTGAAATTGTTGAACATCATGAGCAGAAATCCTCTTGGTGATTGCTGTGGCAATGGCAATCTTGAGGAACTCATCCCTTGGCTTTAACGCAGATGTCAGATGGCTCTTGGTTTCATCTTTCCACCACTGACCTACTAGGAGTTGATTTTTTTAAAGTGCTGCTGTCTTGCAAGCCTCTCCTTGGCAAAGCAAGGTAACCATGCCCCGCTGCGGTGCAGCATCGTGGCAGGATAACTGCGCTGCTTTTCCTCTTGAGCACTTCCAGCCCTGGGTTAACAAGAAGCACTGACCAGTGCTTGTCTTCCAAAGAAACCCACTTCACTGCTGCCTGTGTTGTGTGGCTTGCATCTCTCTAAAAGTTGATGGTTTTTCATCTATCTTCCTCTAAAATTACAAATGAGCAGCTTCCCTGTCTGCACCATGTTATGGATCTTTGCTTTCTGTGGAGCAGCTCGAAAAGCTGAGCTCAGCACCCCGATTTGGATACAGGGTAGTTGCTAAATACCCATTTCTGGCTCGCCAGCATAGCAGTATGAGCCACTGCTTAGGGTGCGAGGTGAGAGAAATGCAGCCCGAGTTATTCTTGTGGTTCTGCCATGGGTTTGCTTTGGAGTCTGGTAATTTAACCTTACTGCATTCTGCAAGGAGGCACGCGTGCTCAGGGGCACTTGCTGCCGTTTGACACCTCAGCTCTCTTTGCAACAGGAGGTGTTTTAACTGACAGGATCTGCTCTGTGTAGAAAATGAAAACCTGCTTTAAAAGCAAACCATCGTGCTAGGAGAGGCCAGGAGCTTGTAGGGCAGCGGGGTTTGCTGCTGTCCCCTTGCCCACAGGCTGCCTCTCTGCAGGAGCAATGGGCTGGAAGCAGGTCTCAGCTCTGCCACGCTCGGGTGGCTCCCAGTTTTGGCAGCGGGTTTGTGTGAAGCTCGCCTCGCTGGGAGGACCCTCCCCAGTCAAGAGCAGCAGCCCGGTTTTGCCCTCTTTCAGCAGGGCTCCTCCCGCCACCTTTTTGGAGTGGAAAAGCAGCCAGGTGCCACCACCAGGTCCCCCCGGCTGAGCTCCTCTCGCCCTGCTGAAACACCAGCCAGGATCAGAGGGGTCACTCCACCTGGATGCCCAATTTAGCTCTGCGTATTGTGTGTTCAAACCATGAAAACACAGCCCTACCCCATTTGGCCATGGGCCTTCCAACTACAGCCACTACCGAGCACCTGGTTAGCACCAGGTTGCGATCCTCAAGATTTGGGCACTTACCCTGGGGAAGCGGAGCGGGGACACTGCTTCAGCCAGGAGCACATGCCGTGCTGTAAGGGGATCCGTTTCCAAAGCACAGAGACGCTTCCAGCAAGGCCCTTTCAGGGGGAGGGGAGGAAAAGCCTCTTTTTTTGGCTCCCCCAGTATTGTTTTACACTAGAAGCTTTTGACAGCACGTGGCTGCACCCACCACCCTAGAGGCAAGGTGCTGCGGGGCAGCGGTCCCTTGCTAGATAAAGTCTCCCCAGGGGCCAGCGGTAGGTCTGGTCTTCGCATGGTGCCAGTGGATGGAAGCAGGGGATGGCCCCAGTCAGTTCAGCAGTGAATACGATTTACAGCAAGCACATTTCTCAAGACATCTGCAAGGACAGAGCTTCATTGAGCATCATATATACACAGACAGCAGAGGACGCTGGGCTGAGCCCTCCGCTACCACGAAACAGTCAAGGATGGGCTCTCGGGGTGGGGGAAAAAAGTACCATTGGTTTGCTTTTACATACTGTACATATATCTATTAATAGCTCCTTGGCATTTGATGTTCACAGCCGGTTTCCTTTAACGGTGAGCGTAAAAAGGAGGCAAAACGTCTTCAGCTACTTCCCTCTGGGAGGAGAGAGATGCAGCACCTCCCGGTCCCCCGGCTCAGCTGCCTGCCCAGGTGCCACCTTTGCCAGGGGTGTCTCCTTCTCCTGGCACCCTCCTCCTCGGCCGCCCACCACGTGCTGGCCAGGGCCAGTCCTAACCCACGCCATGCTTGCCCCATCTCCGCTGCTCAATGGGATCAGTGCAAGTCTCCGTCGGCTGCTCTGCACCTCCGCTCCGCTGGACGGGCAGATGAACCGGGTTCAAACAGAAGGAAACAAAACAAAAGGAAGAAGAAGAAAGACAAAGGGTAATGAAAAGGTCCATGGCCCACAGCTGCCAAAGGAAATCTCTCGCCGTGTTTCTCTGACCATACTTGTCCCAGCCACTACAGCTGCTGTGGGATCCCCTGTTCCTTGTAGCCTGTGAGGAGGGAGGGGAAGGGAACATGATTAGTGTTAATTTCTAATGAGGACCCTCGGCGAGGCTCAAGCGAGCCACAAGCCTCGTTTACCGGGAGTGGCAAACCACATGGGAGAATAGGGGGGGCTGCCACGTGCCCCCTCGCCGCCAGGCTGCCCCGGGGCAGGCTCAGCCCGGTGAGCCGCCCTGCCTTGCTTTAGCCAATGCCTGCCCCGTGCAACCATGGGGTGCAACCATCTTCCTGGGCACGGCAGCGTGGCTGGCCGCCGGCCGCCCTGCCGCCGC